CATTTAAAGAGAGCTTCACAGGTAGTCTAACCACATCGTGCATCCTTGTCTACACGAGGTGAGACTAATGGGGAGATGTTATGACTAAACCCTGTTCTTCAGTGTGAGAGACTTGAATACCTTCTGTTCTTTCAGGCAATACATGGAAAGATACCACTGGACAGATGCTAAGCTGAGCCTCTAGAATAATGTGGGGCAGAAAATAAGTTCTCATTAACTGCTTAAGAAACCTTTCTCCCTGCTTATTCTGTTTTCAGAGAACTTAGCTTTCCTTTTGATTTCGCCCTTTACAACTCATACTGTCTCCCTCTGTAGCATCCCATATTGTGTTCCTTTTCTCCCACTTTTGACTTGTCCTCTTTAAATGGTATCAACTTGGACTTTTCTAAAATGAGGTCTGTTTTCTCTCCATCCACTTACTTGATTTTACAGCCTATAAATCAAGTTCTGGGAAACTTATCCCATGAACAATTCTTTCCAAAACAAAATATATTGACTTGTCTGTTGCTCATAGATCAGCCCTTTTGAACCTACCAGGGACACAAGTTTACTGCCATCAGCACAAGCAGAGTTTCCAAGGACACACACATACTGTAATGAGGCACTTGGCCCAAGATGAGAGAAAACTGATGTTTCCTTTGATATGCATAACTTCGTCATTGGTCACGTGCATAATACCCACTGTGGCTATTTTCCTTCCTATGAAAGGTTATTAGAATAGAGTTCAACAGCTAGATTGCAGAGTGTGATAAACAAGGAAACCACCCCAGTATTTTGATACCCATCATAAAATCTGCATGTTTTTCTTCTCTACATTACCAAGAAGTTTTGCTTGAAGGAAAATCACAGAGTCCATCCAAAGACTCTGTATTCTAAGAAGGTTGACTTTGGAAAAGGACATAGTGATGACAAAATGATGATTCTGAAAAATAATGACAGGATAAGGACCTAACTAAAGATGACAAACAGCCATTTGGAGTGATTAGCTGGGCATAAGACTAAGTGAATATTAAACGCTCATTCAGAATCAGAGAGCTAAGAGTTGAAAGAGAGTTTAGAAATGCCGTCTATCCAAATTATTCTCTTTCAGGATGATATAACCAAGATTAAGGAAAGTGAAATGAGTTGAAACATCACACAGCTTTTCTGAGGCCAGACCCAGGGCTAGAACCCAAATCACATAATTCTTAATCTAGTATACCTTCCACCTCACTGGAGAGTTGTCATTTTTCTTAGGTAGAGGACTGCACTTCACGCTTAAAGTGAATTTCTCTGTGTAACAGTCTTTGTAGAAGATTCATGTGATTCCTGAAGTCATCTCTTTGATGGCTAATGTATCAATTGTTCAGATTGAAGAAAAGGTATAGATATTATTTTGTTAAACTTGTCAAGTACTTGAAAAAAAACTCCAAGGACACATGCCTGAAAGAAGTACTCCCAATTAAAATTATTCTATCTTTTGTTTGCAATATTCAGGGTAGATATGTAGAAATGCAGGATTATCAGATAAAGTACAAGTAGTTACTTTTTAGGATGACTCAGCAAGATATTCCTTGAGGCTATAACACAGTATTTTTTTTTTTTTTTTTTGTACTACAAGATGACAAAGAAGCTTTCCCACAGAAGATTTTGTTGAATGGAAAATAATAACCAGTAGTGTGTTCATCAAGGTATAGATGGCTTCTTTGGAGCTATTTAAATAAGATGTCTTAAATGGAAATGTAATAAGAAGACACCCAGGAATTAATACAACAGACACATAAGCTCTTAGAACCTCTCCCTCTTTCTCTGTATTTCTTCCTTTTGGGGTCAGGTGAGAGAACTCTGGCAAAATCGGAAGAATATCCACTTCGGTCCTGAAGGTAACTACGTACTCTGTGACTTGAACAGAATATGGACTTTTATCTGTTTCTGTGGGTCTGCTTCCTTTGGTTGAGGCAAAACTCCATGTATGGACCATGCTTCTTCCTACTCTGACCTTTGAAATGCTTTGGCTTCTATTTATTTGTATTTGTACTTATTTTTTTCCTTTTGGATTCATAGGTTTAGCTGAACTTGGGCCCTGCATGAAAAATAAAGTTTACATCGTTTATATTATGTACATAAACTAGTGATTTACATTGATTTACACATGATTGGTGCCTAATTTATTAATCAGCACACGGTATGTAAATGCACGGAAAGGAAATCAAGATTGTAAAATAAGTTTTCCATAATATTCATCAACATTTTCGCTGGTGTAAATGTTAAACCTACACCTTACATTAACACCAGCCTTCTTGCCAAAGAAAGTGAAGTATATAGCTGGGCAAAAAACAAATTCTTTCATGAATTTCAGTTGGTGACATTTAATATCACAGCTACATGCAAAGAGAATGGTTTACATCTCTTCCTTCTAGGATGAGCATGAATGTAAACTGTACTTTGCATTTAGTGAGATGTTTACAGATATGCCAACCACGATTTAAAACAAAACCGAAAATGAAAACAAAATCCAAGACTTTACTGGGACCAATGCAGTCTTTGGAGAAGAAATATTTCAAATACTACAAAGAAGAGGTTTTCCTAAACTGAATTTGTATTTCTGAACTAAGAGTCTTATCTCACCATTTCTGTGAAATGTTTAACATTTATCTTCAAAATAGTAATATGGGGTTGTACTTATATTTCTACAAAAGATGATAGTGATAGGAAAGAAAGACTAAATGTAGCTTAACAGTTATTTATGTGGATGAACAGAAAAATGAGGACATGGTTAATCCCATAGAACATGGCCCATAAGAAAATTTCTTTCGAGCAAATGAGGACAAGATAGAAAAAAAAAAAAAAAAAGTGGTACCATGTCTTTCTAAATGAAACATAGCATAGCTCTTCAAAAAAAAAAAAAATCAGTACTTTTTCTTCCTTTTAAGTTTAAGCCATTATTCTAAATTTGTCTAATATTACATACATTATTGTAAATACAGCATCTGTAAATATAAGATTAAAAAAAATACATACACATATACATTATTTCTCCACAAATAATTCAAGGCCTGTGAAAAGCAAAATGGGAGTTCGGGGAGACTTGTCAACAGGAACAGTCGAACCACAACCCACTGGAGGATTTAGTGACTGTAACTGGGTTATATAAGAAGCTAACAACTCAGTAGGTAATAACTCAAACCATTTCATGCTGAGGAGTTTCGTTTTTGAGTTCAAAGGAGGTAAGTCCATTTTTGGAGGAGAAACAGATTTTTGTTTCTGTCCTCCAAGAACATGTAAATCACGAGTACTTTTACAAGGTCTCTACGAATAGCCCCAGTTGTCTGACTGTGTAGTAAAAAAGTATATATGGCAAGGGGAAAGTTTGTCTGATTTGGAAGAGAAGGCAAAGGTCAATGGGACAATCCTTCCCGACAGAAAACACATCTGCTTTTCCATAAACGTTCATTCTTTCAAGATAGAGGAATTTTACGTCTCAAACCGAGCAAGATTGTTCCTCCAACCAGGCAAAACCTGTGGATGAACAATTGCATGGAGAGTATAATTCCAATGCTGCAGTCGTAAAACCTAGGATAGTTCTCATTCTTCAGGAGGTGCACTCAGTAAGGTCATTTCTGCTTTTGTTAACTGAAAATCGGGTCTGAGGACTTTGCTTTCCAAATGATGGAGTTTCCTTGTGTAGCTAGAGGACGTTAGATATATTAGCCATTTAGATTAAGGGGTGTGTTTATCTCCTCTCAATAATTATTTCCAACCATGTGGTGGCATTCAGTGCAGAGCTTCAAGCTTAGATTACCAACTATAAGATTCTTGGAAGGATTTATAGCAACACAATGAATTACATTTCAAGAATGTTTCTCACATGAAGATTCGAATGACTTCTTGATGTCAGTTGTCCTGGCCTTTCTCCAAGCTCTGCTATCTCCCATTCTTCACATTGTTTACAGACATTCCCAAAACTACAATGTTTCCTCTGAAACAGGAGCCAAAGACAGAGTTTTTATATTCCCTGGTCCTGCTTACCCATACAGGGAAACATTACATTTTTCAATGTATTTTTAATTGTGTTTAATATTTGGTCCATTATATTAAAACTGAGGGAAAGGGTGCTGACGTGGCAGATATATTTTTCAATGGAGAAGCTCCTCCCATAAAAGCAAGACCATGTCCTTATGACAGGGTAGAGACAATTAGGCCAGGTGCATAATGAAAGCCTGTGACATGCTACAGAATTGTTCCTCAGACTGAAGTTAAAACAACATCTGAAGTAACTCCTGGTCCTTTTCTCTTCCTAAAAGCAACTCTACTAAAGCTTCCACTTAGCGGTGTTGATTCCCTCTTCAGTGTATGGGGAAATATTTATCCACAATGATGATCATATTTTATTCCTGTATTAAGAGGACCAAATGGTTTGAGAAATTTTTGATTGTCAATAAATCGATGCTACATAAGACTATGGCTCACCTCCCCTCTATTTCACTAGCTGTCTTCCTGGATAAGACTTTCTGTTCTACATCAAGATCTACTCTCCTCTATCCACCCCCAAGCTCTATTTGTCCTTCTGCCTCATGTCTAAATTGCAAAATCATGAAAGAAGGCTGTGATCAGCTTCTAAAATAGATATGGAATCCTCTGGAAAAGTTGAAAAATGCTGGGCTGATCCATCTCCCTTCCTTCTTTCCTCCCCTTCCTTCCTTCTCCCCTTTGTTCCTTCTTTTCTTTCTTTTGAACTCTGTTTCTCCTTCCCTCATCATTTCCTTCCCTCCCCCACCCCCTTTTCCCTTGCTGGCCTGCTTGCCTGCTTGCTTGTTTCCTTCTTCTTCTTCTTTTTTTTTTTTTTTTTTTTTTGGAGATTTTGGTTTTTTCTTTTTTATT